TAAGGCCGCGAGCTATGCAGGTGATCAATTGTGCATCATGGCACGGTCAGCAGCGCCGACAGGCTGTCGCAAGGCGTGATAGCATGGCCGCAAGTACGCCGAGTTCCCATGAAAACAAGTAAAAAATGACCAAAAAATCCAAAAAATCGGCGCCTGCGGCGGGCCATGGGACCCCATCTCCCCCCCCGCATGGACACCCTCTGGGGCCCCCGCGCCGGCCCAGAGCCTCTCGCCCTGCTGCAGCATCCGTGCCCATCTCTGGCAGCCGTTCGCCGAGCGCCTCCTCAAAGCATGCGAGAATCTCGTCGCTCAGAAGCCAGTCTCGAGCACGTCGTCGGCAGCGCGGATGTTCGGCGATGGCACGAGCGTAGGCCTCGTTGCGATCCGTGTCGTGCAGCATGTCGCGGTGGCCGTGGGGCAAGCGCATATTGTGTCCACTCACGCACTTCCACAGCGCGGGCTCTCTCGGCTACGGGACCGGCCCCAGCTTCGGCTGAGGGCTGACAAGCACTTCCATGCCGGCGCAGGCGGATTTCTTTTTATCATATTTCTTTTCCACCTAATCCCGCAGCCAACTCCGAGTGAACTCTCAAGGGTCTCGAGTTGCCGGCGGAGCTAGCAGCTGCTCGGCGTCCTCTGTTCACGAATCTAAATAATGTGTATTTCACAGACCTTGTTATTGACAAGAAAATACGTCCTATGGCGCTTTGCGTTCCCCGTGGGCCCCGCTCTTTCCCTCGCATAGCCTGAGTTGGCAAGGTAAGGGGAATGATCAGAACGGCAAGGCTCGGAATGCGTTCTTTGAACGTTCAGAACACCGGCCACTGGGCCCGCCTGAGGCGCTGAGACCCGCAGGACACCGCGAGAGAGGGCACAGGGGGGCGGGGTAGCAAACAGCCCTTATATGCAATACGGGACAGCCACCCACTCAAAGCACTCACCACACGATTATGCCGCCTCCTATTCGTCATCCTCTTCAAAGCCGACAATGGCTTCGTCAGCCGCCTTTTTCTCCGCCGTGCGGTACGCCTCTTGTAGAGTGCCCGGTTCAGGTTCTGCTTGCCGCAGTTGTCGTACAGCTCCTCGAGCTCGACCCAGCGCGTATCAATCGGAAGCCGTCGTCATTCTGGTCCTCTCCAAACTTGCCGCGGGTGAGGTAGCACAGCGACGTCTCCGCCGCGGCCAGCTCATTGCGCCGCTTCTTCCCGACGAGCCGCTCAGGGTCGGCGAAGCGCATGCCAATCACCTCCTTGATCTCGAAGCAGTATGTCGGCACGACCGCGTCGTCTCCTCCGCCGTCGGCGAGGCGCGCCACGCCGCTCCGCCGTGGCCGCCTTCTGGCATAGCGGGTACACATGGTGCGGCGCGCATACTTGAGCACACCGTGGTTGGTGCAGTTGGCGCACGTGCCTGTGGGATAGGGCGCCATAGCGACGCGCGCGCTCCGGGTATGTATCGGGTATACCTGAGAATTCTCGGGTATACCCGGGTTTTACCCGGCCGGCCACCTGGGTCGGTCCGAGGGTGTTCCAGGAATGATCAGAATGGCGAGGGCCAGAACGTGTTACATGTACTAGTCAGAACGGACCCCAGTTGCCGTTCCTGCCAACTCAGCGCATAGCGGCCACTCTTCGGATCGCTGGTCGAGCGACCCGGGGGATGCCCCGCGCGCCTGACCCAGGCGCGCATAGCGGATCAGCAAGCCCTAAAACGGCGGGAGGGGTAGGGCTATATCGATAGAGCTAGAGGGCTCAACCACCCCTCCACCCCTCCACCCTCCACCCCTCCACCCTCCCGGAGCGAGAGGGGTCCGTCCTCGAGCCCTCCCACTTCCACCCCTCCGACCGGAGGGCTCGCCAGCCCACAGGGCTGGAGGGGTCCCCGTCGGATCGGCGTCGGGAGGGCTCCACAGGGTCCCATAGGGCTAGCGCGCTGGGAGGGTGGAGCGGTCCACCGGGGAGAGGGGTCAGGAGGGCTGGGCGAGGCGGGAGGGGTGGTGGGGTCCAGGAGGGCTCGCGCCCCCCCGAGCTCGGGTGGTAGGCAAGAGGGCTCGGGCGCCGGGTGGGCTCGGAGGGACGGTCGGACAAAGAGAGGATCTTCGTGGCGGGAGGGCTCGAGAGGGGTCGGAAGGGCCTCCGGGAGGGTTCGCAAAAAAAGAATGGCGCGGCGCTTCCGAGAGTGCCCGCCACGAGAGGGTTAGAGGGGTCGGAGGGGTTTAGAGGGCTGGAGGGCTGCAGGCCTGCTGCCCGCCCATGGACGCGGGTCAACGGCGACGGCGCCCGTGATCGAGGGACCGGCGACGGCGAATGAGCTGGTCTCTGCGCCGCACGACTTCACCCACGTTCGCGACTGTGGCCATCCAACAGTCTGCCGGCGCGGCGGGCGCATTCGAATGCGCCGGCCGCGCCGGCAGACTGCCAGTGCTATCCGGGCGGGCCTGCTGCGGCAGGGCGCTGCAACGCCGCCGCCTCGCCGCCACAGCAGCGCCGCCCCCGCATGGCTGCCGCCAGCAATGTCGCCGCCAGCCGCCGCCCCCAGCCGCCGCCGCCAGCTGCCGCCAGCACTGCAGCGACAGCTCTCTCTGCTGCCCAGGCGCCGCCGCGGCCACGAGTGTCACCGCCACGAGTGCCGCCGCCGTCAGCGTCGCCATGGCCGCTGCCGCCGCCAGGCGGGCGAGCGAGGAGCTCCATATGAGTGTGTGTGTCTGGAGGCTGTGTGGCGCTTCCGTTTTAGCGGAGAAACCCCAGGTATTTCGACCAAACGCGCTTCGTGTTTGCCTTGAGGAGCGCAGCGACGAGTCCGTAAGGAGCGGCCCCAGCTTGCTGGGTGCGGCGCCGCCGCGCGCCGTATCGAGAGACTCTGTCGGGGCAGGTTAAAATAGCGCCGCAGAGGCGATCCCCGGGCCGTCCGCGCACAGACCACGGAAACGCCACTTCCGTATGCCTGCAGGGTATCTTTAACCGAGCCCTCCGAGCCCTCCACACCCCTCCACACCCCTCCGACCCCTCCGACCCCTCCGACCCCTCCGACCCCTCCGACCCCTCCGACCCCTCCGACCCCTCCGACCCCTCCGACCCCTCCGACCCCTCCGACCCCTCCACACCCCTCCGACCCCCCCACACCCCTCCGAGCCCCCCGAGCCCCCCGAGCCCTCCGACCCCTCCGACCCCTCCGACCCCTCCGACCCCTCCGACCCCTCCGACCCCTCCGACCCCTCCGACCCCTCCCCCCACACCTCCGCAGCCCGCGAGTCCTCCGAGCCCCCCGAGCCCTCCGACCCCTCCGACCCCTCCGACCCCTCCGACCCCTCCGAGCCCCCCGAGCCCGGCTCGGTGGCTCGCCCCTCCGAGCCCTCCGGGCACTCCATCCCTCATGAGCCCTCCCGAGCCCTCCCGAGCCCTCCAGCGCCACCCTCGTGCCTCTCTGCCCTCCGAGCCCTCCGCGAGCTCTCCACCCCTCCCGAGCCCCACCCCTCGCGCTAGGGACCCTCTTGCCGGACGACACCCTCCGAGCCCTCCAAGCCCCCCGAGCCCTCCAGACCCCTCCATCCGCACAGCCCCTCCGGCCCCTCTAGCCCCCTCCGACCCCTCCAGCCCTCTCTAGCCCACTGGACCCCTCCCACGCCTCGCTTTTGGCCAGCCCTCCAAGCCCCCACCCCTCCTGGGCCCTGCCGCCTGACACCTCTATCGGTGGAGGGCTTTAGGTCACGGTCCACACTCCCGCCCTCCCGACCCCTCCACACCCCTACAGCGGCACCCCTACCCCTCCCACCGTATTAGGGCCTCCTGCGCCCGCACTCCAGGCGCGAAAACGAATCTGCGAGGCGAGGCCGCTCACGCGGCCCGATGGGGAGGAACGGGGCGAGCCCCCTCCAACCCACCCGCGCTAGGTCTCGGGGGACGAAGGGGTCACACCCGACGACCTCGGGAACTAGCCGGGGCAGTCGGAGAAGTGGCAACTCCGTGCACTGACGGTCGGCCGCCAGAAAACACGCCTCCGTGGCTCGGGTTACACCAATCCTCGCTACCCAACGCGGCCAAAGGATATCCACCTCGCGAGGCGAAATCAGACTCGGTCGAGAGACCCCAGATTGGCATCCATGCCTCTCTGGACAGGGTGGCCCGCCACAAGGACCCCAGGAATTGCGACTCGCCGCTTTCCTCCCGCTGTGATTCTGTGTGAGCTCTGTGTCTTGATTTGCCAACAATATACCTAAAACCTCGAGAACCTCGAGAACCTTTGCGTTCACAGCCTTGTTATTGAGAAGAAAATACCGCACACCGAACCGGCGAGGAGCGCTGCGATATCAGACAGCCGGCGCTGCCGCCGCCGACGGCTGCCTGGAGCGTTTACCTTCGTGCTCATGATGTTCAAGACACCCGTGGACGGATCCTCGTCGACAGCTCAGCCCGACACGCCCGAGTACGTTGCTTTTGCGGTCGTGACCTTGGCGTTCGTGCTGGCGATGCCGACCGGCCTCGGTCGCGGCGGGACTTGGGCGGGACGGTTCGGCCTCGAGCGGCAGCGGCGGACACAGGTCTTAAAGAGGGCCCGCACCTACCTCTTGGATCTCATCGAGGGTGGGATGTACACAATGATCTACGCGGCGATGGCCATCTCGCTCAGCCCGCTGGCGGAGCTGCCGTTCCCGGCGTACATCGAGTCGACGCCGTGGCACATATGTCTCCTCGAGGTGATCCTGCAGGCGGGAGTGAACCAGATGGTCCAGATCGCCATTCGGGACTACGCGAATACCGTCCTTTCGCCCTACCTGCCCGACCTGGGCACGCAGGGCGACCGCTCCGGGGCGAGGGCGGGCGGTGGCGTCGTGATGACGACCTGCCTCTTCTCGCGGCAGGGCGCCTGGAAGAGAAAGATGGCTCTCCTCGACCGCCACCTCGACCAGCACTTCTTCATCTGCTTCCCAAAGACGGTGCTGGCTGCCCTCGGGCTGTGGTGAGACAGAGAGGAGGGGGCGGTGGGGCGTGGTGGACGCCACCTGCACCTGGACCAGCGCGGGGGTGCAGGACGGCAAGGGTCTCACAGCCGGGCGCCGGGTGGGAAAGCTCGCTCTTGGAGCACCGGTTGGAGTGCAGTTAGCAGCCGCGCACATCTCCGCACAGAGCGGCCGCACTCTGCTCGGTACCCCCCCTGCACAACTAAGCTCATGGCCGACCCCCCCCCCAGCAGCACGCTCTGCTGCTGGGGGGGTCGGACCCCCCCCCCCAGCAGCAGCGCTCTGCTGCTGGGGGGGTCGGGACCCCCCCCCCAGCAGGAGCGCTCTGCCTGTGGGGGGTGCTGGCATCTCTGTACAGACAGCAGTAAGTAGCATGCGTTCCAGTGGCGAGAATTTATAGTCGGCATCAAAATCAGTGTATTGGGCTCGAAGGCGCGGTGAACACAACCGCCTCGAGCGTACGAGTACCGCTTAAACACGAGCCGAGGGCGGAGAGGGGGGGGCGGCGGCGAAGAGGCGGGAGAGCTGGGCGTCCAGTGCGCTCGCTCTCTGCTGCTGGGGGGGGGTCGGGACCCCCCCCCCCCAGTAGCAGCGCTCTGCTGCTGGGTGGGTCGGGAGCAGCACGCTCTGCTGCTGGGGGGGTCAGACCCCCCCCCCCTAGCAGCAGGGATGAGCTTAGTTGTGCAGGGGGGGTACCGTCTACCGAGCAGAGTGTGCGGCCGCGCGCTCACAGTCACACACATGCTCATGCACACATCCAGAGCTCTTTTTGTATTTTTGTTTTCACACGTCTGCGGCCTGCGGGTCACATGCAGAGGCGCGACAGGGGTAGCCTTGCGGGGTCACATGCAGAGGTGCGACACGGGTAGCCTCAAGTGTTCATGTAATCTCTCTCTGGACTCTGCAAGTGAATAGTGTTCATGTACAATCTCTCTGTCCTCCCTCCCCCTCTCTTCCCGCCTCAAGGGTCCAAGTCGAAGCCCATCAGCGGCGCGTCCGACAGGCCGACGAAGGAGCCGTCCTGCCAGAGCCGGTGCCGGATCCGCTGCAGCAGGTAGAAGCGCTCCTGCCGCAGCAGCGTCCCGGCCGCGGAGATGGCGGGCACGCGCAGGACGCACAGCCCGCCGTCCACGAAGGTGGGCCGCACGGCGTGGTCGAGGTCGAGGGAGCCCTGCCCGCGTATGCGCCTCCGCCAGAAGGGGATGCCGAGGAGCAGCCGCGCCCGGCTCACGTACTCGATGTCCCACGCCTCGCCGCCGAGCCAAGTGAAGGTCGCCCGCACCTCGCTCGAGCCGAACCGGTGGCGCGCTCGCTGCACGTACGCACCGCGCCCGTCCCTCACGTCGTCCCAGCGGTTGCCGCGCGGCCCGGCCTGCAAGACCGAGGCGTACGCGTTGGGTCCGGGGCAATAGCTCTCGATGAGGTGTCGGACCCGCCCGGCGCCTCGCGTCCAGTCGGCCGTGTCGCTCGCGTAGAGCGTCTCCCAGCAGCCGTCGAGCAGGGGTGACGTGGCTGGCCGCTCGGTCGGGTTGCACTTCTCCAGCTGCCCCACCAGCCTGCCGACTGCCGTCCTGTCGCCTGAGGAGAGGGCGGCACGGATCGCCGCTTTGATCTCCGCGGCGTCATCGTCGTAGTGGTCGTCTGCCACGTCCGGAAAGGCGCCCATCGCGAGGCACGAGGCCCGCGCGGATGCGGACCTCGGGTGCAGGACGACGAGGGGAGCGGCGAGGGCTAGAGCTGACATATATTTGTGTAAAGAAAGAATTTTACAAGCAAACTCCCTCGCACAACACTGGGCACGGGACTGGCGCGCACTGGCACTAACACAGGTACACCACGGGAGCCGCAGTGTGTAAAGAAAGAAAGAAAGAACGCGAACCCAAATGGGAGGACGGTACGCCGCCACCACACAGGGTTTTTAGGGGAGAAGTGTGGTGTTAGCCGTCGCCCACCCTCGGGCGTCTACCACTTCCTATCTCTCTCCGCAGTTTCTCACCAATTCTCGCAGCGACCTTCATGCCACCTCGCGTTCTTCCCACTCTCGTCGTTCTCTCTCCTGCTGTCTCTTCCCCTGCCTGACTCATCGCTCTCCTCGGCCTCGTTCTGAGACGCCGCTTCGTCTCTTGCTCTCGCTGCTTCTCTCGCCTTTCTGCGTAACTCCATATGTGTAAAAGAAAGAAAACGAAGAACCCAAGGGAGGGATGGGAGGACGGCACGCCGCCACCACACAGGGATTTTAAGGAGAGGGGGAAGAAGGCGACTGGGTGTGCGTCCGTCGCCTCGGCTACTACGTGCCGGACTTCAACGCCAACATCCTCTCCCTCTTCCGGGACAGGAGGCTCTTCGGATCGACGATATCCACAACCAATCAAGGGGGTGTGCCAGTCGACACGCTGCACATAGACAATGCAAGAGTCACCCTGGACACGTCGAGAGACATCTCGAAGGTCAAGATCCGACCAGTGCGCGACCCACGATCCGTACCGGTGTCACAGCCGGTCATGCCAATGCTATCCACTGCGCCTACAACGCTACCCTATGCAGCCGACCTGTGGCATCGACGCTACGGGCATATGCCCGCGTCGACCATGATGATGTTGCCACATGTCACGACGGGGTGTGAATTTAAGCTCACCCCGCAACAAGCCAAGCGCCATCGGGATTCGTGTAGCATATGCATACAATCCCGAATGCGAAGGGCGCCCGAGACAAAGAAGGCGCCCCGTTTTGAGAAGTCGCGCGCCCCCGGCGAGCTTGTCCACTCGGACCTACTCGGACCGCTCCCCGCGAGTCTAGATGGGGGGTATCGGTACCTCGCTGTTTTTGTCGACGACTTCTCGCGCTACATCATGGTATATCCGATGCGAGAAAAGGGTGAACTCGAAGCCCAGTACGCCCGATTCGAGCAAGACATGTCGGAGTACTTCATCAGCCAGCGTCGCCAACTACACACTGATAATGGAGGGGAGTTCATGAGCAAGTCGCTGGCCGAATACCTCACCACGAATGAGATTAAACACACCACCAGCTCTCCCTACTCGCCGAACCAAAACGCCATCGCCGAACAGGCGATGTGGCGGCTCTGTTCGGTGGCGAGGGCGATGCTGCTTGAGTGCGGACTCCCTACCTGCCACTGGGCGATGGCGCTCACGCAAGCAGCGCTACGACTCAACATCACGCCTCGACGCACGATCCGAGCCGGATCCAAAATTAAAGGCGCGAGCCCCGACCCAAGCGATGTGGCCTGGACCACCCCTTATGAACGTCTAAAAGGGCGCAAGCCAAACGTGCGCTACCTGCGTGTGTTTGGATGCCGGGCCTGGGTACTCAACGAGCCTATCCAAGGACGTGCCAAGCTCGAGTCAATCGCAACAGAGGGATGGTGCATCGGGCCAGCGCGATACTCGCGTGGAATGGTCATTTACATCCCCGACAGCGAATCGCCCAACGACTTAACAAAAGGCAAGTACAAGATCACCCGGAACATCCGGGTAGACGAGTCGTTCACGCCCAAGGGACGCGTCGACAGCGGGCCATCACTAGCGCCTCCGATCGTCGCGGGGAGTGAACGCCCCCAGGCAAAGGACGTGATACTCTTCCGAGTCCCTGCCAAAGCTAAACCGGGTGACGTGCTCGATGTCACCTCGCCCAAGACGGGTAGAAGCGTGCAAATACGCGTCGCCGAGAGGATGTACCCAGAAACATACTGGACGGCGTACGACACGACCATCCCGAACGCCGACGACGCTGTCTTTGGCACAGCGCAATCGATAATCGACGCGAGCGCTGATGGAGCCGACGCTGGGAGCACCACTGCACCCTCGCGGGGCCTTCCCACAGAGGGGGTGCTAGTCGGCGGCAAAAGCAAGCAGCTCAAGAAGATATCCAAGCGCGCTCGCAACAACGCCATCAAGGGTGGCCCCGTCAACAGCCCGTCGTCTAACCCGACACTTCCACCAACCTGGGTGACAGCTGTTCCAGGGGGTGGCCCCGCCTCCGGGGACGATGTCACCTGGGCAACTCCGGTTCCACCGCCCAGGGTGACCGCTGTGCCCGGAGGGCCCAAAGGTACTGACGTGACTTGGGCGAGCGTCGCTGGGCGCCATGACAGCCAGCAGCCTACACCCCAAGCCTCGGCTGAGGGGGTGGACGGCGCGCAGCTCGTGACTGCGAACATGACGCATACAATGCGCATGCACAGGACAGACTTCGAGGAGCTCAGTGAGGCTCTCGAAGACGGTGACGAGGAAGCGATCGAGCAGTTCATCACCAAGCAGAAGATGTTACGAGGCGATGACCCCGACATCACATACACGGTCGGCATCCCCCCAAGCTGCAAGTCTGCCCTAACGGGCCCCGACAAAGAGAAATGGATGCCGTCATACACTGAGGAGCTAACGGCACTCCAACAAAATAAGACGTTCTCCGTAGAGGACATCCCCGCCGGCGTCCATGTCATCGACCCAACAGTTGTGCGAGATGTCAAACGTGATGAGAACGGCCGCCCAGACCGCTGGAAGACGCGCGTCTGCGCTCGAGGCTTCATGCAGCGGCTGGGCGAACATTACTTCAACACGTTCAGCAACACGGTTCGATACGAGACGCTGCGGCTACTTATGGCGATAGCCGCAGGCAACGACCTCGCCCTTACGAGTCTTGACATCAAGACGGCTTACCTCAACGGCTACATCGAAGGGGGCGTCCAGATTTACATGCGCTTTCCTGCCGGATGGCACTTTGAGGGTGACGGATTCGACTACACCTTCAAATACACTGGTGATCACACGCGCAAGAGGGGGCGTCCCGAGCGTGGACTACGATTGGTCAAGGCCATCTACGGTCTGAAGCAGAGCGGAGCACTCTGGGAAGAGACGCTCCGATCGTTCCTACTCTCCATCAACGCCATCCAGTGCGTCGTTGACCCGTGCCTGTGGCGGTACTCCAAAGGCGGCAACACCCTGCTCTTCGTCGTGTACGTTGACGACATCGTGATCGCCTGCTCCAACCAAGACTTTCGCGATGCGTTTGTGAGCATGCTCCAAGAGCGATTCACATTGCGCGACAATGGCCCACTCACCTGGGTGTTCGGTTCTGCCGTCGAGCAGGACCTAGAGCAAGGCACCGTTAGCTTTCACCAAAAGCTCTTCATTCAAGATACCGTCAAGGAGTTCCTGGGCGACGACCCCCGCCCCAGTAAGCGCGCCGTACCGTGCAACGACGACATCACCAATCTCACCCACCTCGAAGAGGGTGAGATGATGCACCCACGATACGCCGAAATTGTTGGCAAGATAGGGTGGTTGGCCAACATCTCCCGGCCAGACATTGGCTACGCCTACTCGATGCTCTCAAAGTTCCTAAAGGGGGGCGGGGAGCGCCATTTCAACGTTGCCCTTGGCGTCCTCGCTTACCTGGACAAGACCAGGGACAAGACGATCACCTATCGCCGCGAGGCGGATGGCAACCTCGCCGATCACATCGTAGAGCATGCCGACTTAGCCAGCTTCGACTACGACAGGTTCGTGCCGATCATCTTCTCGGACACCTCTCATGGCGGGGAAAAGCCTCAGGCGGGATACGTGATTTTTGTGTGCAATGGGCCTGTCTCTGCACACGCTGGACGCCTTAAGTCCACGCCCACCTCATCGTCCGAAGGCGAGTATGCCATTGCGACCAAGGCCACACAAGCGGCCATCGCGGTCTCGGACACCATCAAGTTCATGGCCGAGGACCTACCCGACTACAAGGGCAATAAGTCGGACCTCGGATGCACAATGCCGCTCTTCTGCGACAATAGGGCGGCCGTGCTCCTTAGCGAGGGCAACACCTCCTCGAAACGCATGCGACATGTGGCGACTCAGATCGCCTTCCTGCGCGAGCAAGTGAAGGATACGAAGCGCGTTAGGCTCACCCACATCCGAACGCAGGGACAAGTGGCCGACCTTTTCACGAAGCCACTGACAGCGGCTGTCTTTCACCCTCTGCGCGCATTCGTCGTGTCGTAGCGCCGGGTGACCACTCGCCGACGCCCACCCACGTGATTGAGGTGGTGAGCAGACGGAGGTTGCGTCACCGTACCAGCAGATGCATGCATGAAGATGGCCAGGAACGAGCCAAGCATGTGCAGCGGCTAGGATGTACAGCAGGAACGCGCCGCGTACACCAGCTAGCCACTGAGGGGGTGAGCTGCTCGTTCTCAGCGCAGCGCTCTTGCATTCACACCCGCACAGCACCCTGAGGTATTTTTATGTTCCCCCACCCGGGTGGGGGAATTTTATATTTAGCAATATGAGCCGCCGTCCCCACTCGAACTCGAGTCCGCCGACCGCTATAGGTCGAGCGGGGAGAGAGGCGCTGCCTCCACGGCGGGGACGGAGGCGACACCTCCGTCCCCACCGCCATTGGTTCGAGCGGCAAGCCTTAGGTAGAGCGGGGACGGAGACGTGGAAAAGCGTGCTTGTGAGTGGAAGCCACAAGCGCGCTGGCTCCGGTCGTTTGTAAATGAGGGTGTTTTTCTGTGTGTGTGTTTTCTTGAAGCCTTTCTTAAACTGGGTAACGAACCCCTGTCACTCCGTGAAGTGAACAGAAGAGAGGTGTGAACCGACTGGCGTGCTGATCGTGAAGAGGCGCCATGTCATCGGACACCGAGAGCACGGTCTGCGACCCGCGGTTAGAGGTCGCATTCGAGCCGCAAGTCCCCAAGGGGCCGGGCCAGATAAGGCGCGTGCCCCAGCTGTTCACAGCAACAGCACGGTCTACCCCCGTCGTCCCACCCCAAGTGCAGCAGACGACACTACTCGCTTAATGTGGGTAAACCATAGTACCGTATACGGTACTATGAACAGAGAAGCCCATCAAAGTCGCCGCCGACAGTCCACGCCGAGCCGGCCTGCTGCCGGCTTGCACGGCAGCCTTTTCCTCTCGACCAGCCTCAACTTCCGTACAGTCAACATTTTGTCGCTGCGTGCTCGTGGCGAGCTGTGGCGGCGGTCGAAGTTGGCCCAGATTCGGTGACGAGCGCCGGACGATAGTACCGCCTCTGTTCGCCCTGTGCATGTCAGACCAGGCTGCAGCAGGGCACTACCATCGTGCTGCCCTGCTGCAGCCTGGCCCTGCCCACTGTGCACAGCCGCCAGAGCACCACCACCGCCCGGCATCGTGTCACGGCGAGCTCCTTCTGCGCCCGCTCGCGAGGCTCTCGTGCTGGCACACTTTGGCCATCTGCTGCTCGCGTTCGGCGAGCTCTTCTCCGCAATCCTGCCACGGTGCCGCCACCACACACCTTCTGGCCGGCCTGAGCCGCGCGGACTCGCCGGCGGGGGCAACGTGTCGACCTCTCTCTCTGGTGCACCACGGGCCGCGACGGCCTGCGAGCAGCTGGCGCGAGGAGGCAGTGTGCCGGCACAGTCGAGCCGGAGCATCGGGTTCTTGATGCTTGTGGGGTCGAGTTTGACCTTATGTGGCATAATATGCAACAATAAGGCTATGCTATCTCCCGGATTTTTGAGATATGATCCCTCAAAGTCGAATTATGGTTTACTGGTGACCATAGTACCGTCGTGTCTTGTTCGCGTTTCTTCCGCAGCAAAGAACAACGGCTTTTGTTACAACGATGGCCGACTACACGGTAAGGCATACGGACCTTGCAGAAAACCTTTTCCTTCTAAGCAGGGCTACACAATGACCCTATAGTGTGTGGGTGTTCCTGGCGAGTTGTGATGAGTAGAATTAGACTAGCCAATACTATTTTGAAGTTCATATATGAAAATACCAACTTGCCTATGTGCACGTCTCCGCCGCGGCGGCCCGGAGGCGGCCCGGCGGAGCGGTCAGAGCAGCACTGCGCGGGCCGGCGATCGACTCTCGACTATAGTACGGGCTCTATTGAATGGCCTCAAGGTGCTCTCTAGGGCTGCCCTATTCCGCTCGCCCGGCTACGTCGCCGGGCTTCGAAGGAAAAGGTTTCGCTCGGCACGGCGTCGGAGAGCAAACTTCGACGTTCGTCCTATAGTGGAAGCCGGACGCACGTAGGCAAGTGGCCCATGACCAGGCGGGCTGCTGCTCAGAATCTGGGCCGTCGGCGCTCGCTCTCGCGCTCTTCATAACGGCGTTGCCCCCTCCCTCTCGCGCCGACGTTGGGCAGCCCGACCACGACAACGTCAGCGCCGCTGGCCTGCAACTCGAGGCGCCTTTGAATGAGCACGAGCCGGTGCGCGGCGGCGGCGCGGGTGATGCAGCCCAAGGTGACGGCGACGGCAGAGGGGGCGGCGCCGGCGGCGGAGGAGGCGGCAGCGGCGGCGATGGCCGCGGGGTCGGCCCGCCCGCCTTTGCTGCTGGTGCTGTGGGCATCATCACAGCTCAGCGGCGGTGTGCGACCAGGGCCAGTGGTAGACTTTCGACGCGGTGAGGCTGCTCTCTGAGCAATGACACTAGCAAGAGCATCATGTGTGTCATCGGAGTCACTTGTATTACGATACCACCACGCCGCCACGCTCGCAAGGGCCGCCTAAGCGCCTAAGCACCCTAAGCACCCCCCCGCTTAGGCCGCTTAGGCGCTTAGGCGAGTGACGGCCGGCTGCCCGGGGCCTGGCGTGCCTCCGCCGTGGGCTGAGCGCCCGGGAGAGCCACTCTGCAAGTGGTGTGCGAGCGTGTAGCCTTTAGCGTGCAGTCGGCCGACGAATACTTTAAAGTCTCGACAATCACTAAGCTGCTTATGTGGCACCGCAGAGGCTCCCTTGGGGATGCCTGAGGCCACCCCAACCACTCACCAAGCCTTACGTGGACGAATTCAAACCTACTTTTATGGTTTACCCACACTAAGCGAGTAGGCACGGGACCACTGCGCACTGGCGCGCACGAATAGAGAAAGCGGATACGGGCCGGTCAGGTTTTCCCAGAATTTCAGCATGCTGGCCGCCGCAAGCAAAAAGAATACACACCTGGTTTTTTTCTAAAATCTCTCCCCCATTGACCCATAAACACAAACAATCAAGAAGAGTCTCTCTTGACCCATCCATTGTCCCACTCAAGAAAATCGCCGTTTCGAGGGACATGTACTTCCACCCTCTCTCTTGGGGTTGGGGTGAGACTGCAGGTCATCAGCCTACCACACCTACAAACCTGCACCCAACGCGGCTCAGGATTTCCACCGCCGTGTTATCAGAAGAAATTGGACCCATCGACAGCCTCGAGAGGGGGCGTCGACCACAGGCTGATATCGACCGTCGCGCTGTGCAAGATCTGATCGATCTACGGCTCCGGCGCGGCATGCTCAGCCGCTCGCATCGGCGCTCCACGGCTCCACAACGACTGCTCGCCCTCGCTCACTGCTCAAATTCTCGTGCTCGCTGCCTCGCCTCGCTCACTCCCCGGCCGCTCCCGGAGCTGGCGCTCCGGCCTTTCGAGGTCGAGCGCTACCCGGGCTGGACGGACGGCTCCGCCTCGCTCTCCTCCTCCGAGACGGAGCCGCTCTCGCTCGCAGAGCTCCTGCTGCATGCAGACGCCGACCTGGCGGAGCGGTGGCGAGCTCTCTCCCTCGGCTACCCTTCGCACAACGAGGGCAGCCCGTGGCTCCGGCGTGAGATCGCCTCCAAGTACTCCACAGAGTCGATTGACGAGAGGCACGTCAATGTGTGCGCGCCGGCAGAAGCCATCTACCTCGCCTCACGGGCGCTCCTGGCTGCAGACGACCACGTCGTGGCGACGGTGCCGCTCTACCAGTCGCTCAGTGAGGTTGCCCGCTCGATGCGCTGCGAGGTGAGCGCGTGGCGACCCTCGGCCGGGCCGCCGGGTGCGCCCTACCGCTTTGACCCGGCCGACCTCGCCGCGCTGATTCGGCCCGGCAGAACCAAGCTGGTCGTCTGCAACTTTCCGCACAACCCGACTGGCGCGCTGCCGACGGCGGCCGAGTTTGCGCGGGTCGTGGCCGCCTGCGAGGCGGCCGGCTGCTACCTGCTGGTGGACGAGATGTACCGCGGGCTCGAGCACGGCTCGCGGGAGCCTCTCCCCGCGGCCTGCGAGGCGTCGGCGATCGGGGTCAGCCTGAGCGGCCTCTCCAAGACCGTTGGCCTGCCTGGCCTCCGGCTGGGCTGGCTCGCAAGCCGCTCGCCGGCCGTGATTCAGCGCGTCGCGCAGCTCAAGGACTACACCACCATCTGCCCGCCCGCCCCGTCCGAGGTGCTCGGCGCGGTCGCACTGCGCGCACAGCCGGCGCTGCTCGAGCGAAGCCGCGCGATCGCCGCCGAGGGGCTAGCCGCGGCGCGCGCGACGGTCGCGAAGCACCCCGCCGCTCTCGAGTGGTCCGAGCCTGCGGCGGGCACCTTTGCGTTCGTTGGGCTCAAAGGCGGCGGCGGCGGCGGCGGCGGCAGCGAGGCCTACTGCGAGGCGCTTCGCTCGCGCGCCGGCCTGATGCTGATGCCTGGCGCCCTCTTCGACCTGGACGCGACCGCGGCCGACGGCAGCGACGCGGCGAGGCGGGTGCGGCTCACGTACGGTCGCGCTGACACCGCGACGCTGCTGGAGCGGTGGAGCGAGGACATACGGCGACATGGGGTGACTCTGTGAGTCTTGTGGTATACTGAGTTGGCAGGATCGGCAACTGGGGTCCGTTCTGACTAGTACATGTAACACGTTCTGGCCCTCGCCATTCTGATCATTCCTGGAACACCCTCGGACCGACCCAGGTGGCCGGCCGAAAAATACCCGAAGCGGAGCATGAGGAGCCACTCGTGACCTTTGAGGACGCGGGGGACGTGCTGGGCATGGTGGAGGCGCCGCTGCTCGTGCCGGACGGGTTCAAGGTTGTCGCGGCCTCGCCGACGGAGGAGCAGCTCGACCCGACCAACCCGGCCAGCGACGCGCTCATCGAGCAGCGCATCATGGTCCGCTTCGAGCACTACGGCTGGTGCGTGGGCACGGTTACGGCCAAGGTGAACGACGGCCGGCGCACGATCGAGCGTGACCGCGTCAACTTCGTCGCCAAGTTCGACGTTGACAACGGCGCGGCGACGGACTCTCGCTCGAGTCGTCGATGTACGACGGCTCGCCGTCGGCAGAGTACGAGTCGTGGCTGCTGTTCGAGCCTGTTCTGGCGCCGACGGAGGCGGCGGCCCTGGCAGCGGCGGCCGGCGGCGCAATCGTCGCCGTGTGAAGAGGTCGGACCGGCTGGGGCCGGGCGGTGGGCGGTGGGCTGCCTTGGCGCTTGGGGGGATGGGCTGTGGCACGGTCCGAGTCGTAGGGCCGGTGCCGCCTGGATGCCGTTCTGATCATTCCTGCGACCTTTGTAGGGATCCCTAGTCTTCCGTCCGAGGTCGGGCTGAGGGAGGACTGATGAGCCGCGTCACTGTCCCTGTGCCTGTGTCTCGCGCCTTGCGGGGGGGGAGCGGAAAGGAGGAACCTCTTCCCAAGAGCACCACTCTTGGAGCGCCGCCACTACCACCCAGAGCGCTGCAAGCAGCGCCGGGCAATGACGGCTTACCGCCCTCTGTCTGCTGCTAGTGCCGAGAGAGAGGCTCCGGGTCTCAGCGCCTCAGGCGGGCCCAGCGGCCGGTGTTCTGAACGTTCTGAGAACGCATTCCGAGCCTTGCCATTCTGATCATTCCCCTTACCTTGCCAACTCAGGTGGTATACAGCTCAAGAAGATGATTTTTGGTATGAGATAAATAAATAAATAAAACGGGCACGCCAAACGAGGGGTGGGAGAAGGACAGGGTCCCCACCTGCACGAGCAGGATCTTGGTACGAGATTCTTTTTTCGGGTCGCGATTTCTTTTTCTCGTGCCGGCCCATTTACTCGCTGAGAGAGCATTTCCCACACGGCCGCGGGATGGCAGGCTCGTCGGTGCATCGGTGAGCCCCCTCGCCCCTCGTGCCCAGCAACGGCCTCCTCTCGCACCACATTACGCCTAACGCGGCCCTCCTGCTTACTTACTGAGCTCTCGCTGGACCAACTGCAGGCACGGCCGGCTGCTGTGTCGCGGCGCGCCGCTGTCGTTTCTCGATGGCGAGTGGGTGCGCCAGGACTCCGACGTCAAGTCGTCCCCACGCTATGCGCACAGCGACGACCCCAAGCTCCACCTCACCTCCGACGGCGCCGCCTGGCGGGTCACGCGCGGGGCGGGGTCGGGTGAGGTGATCGCCGAGGCGGCCTCGACCGCGCTCCACCCAGGGACGGTGGAGGTCGGGTCGTGGAAGGTCTTCGACCGCGGCAAGGAGCTGCCAAAGTCCGCCGAGCTCGAGATGCTCTGCGACGGCCCAAACACCGAGGAGCAGCCCTTCCTGATGGAGGAGCTCGGCCGCGACTTCTTCCTGCGGGTGCACCTCACGCGCAAGGTGGTCTGGTTCGTCTGCCCCGCCACGGGCGACATCTACCACTCGGCCGCCAAGCCCGGCGGCGAGGGCGGCCGCTCCAAGCCCGGCAAGCGCTACTGCCACCTCTGCAACAAGGCAGCAGCACCTCTCCACTCCCCGCCACCACCTCTCCACTCCCCGCCCGCCGCGCCCCTCCCCCGCAGCCCGACCGGGCGGCCCTGCCTCGCGCGGCGCAGTGCTTCTCCGCCAACAACTTCCAGTCGCAGCACCTCGTCAACCTCCACCCCGAGCTGGTCGCCAAGAAGCCGCCAAAGGAGAAGAAGGAGAAGAAGCTCGCCGGGCTCGAGAAGAACATGCCCTCGCCCGCCGACCCAGAGAGAGTCAAGACGCTGATCCACGCGCTGCTCTGCCCGTCGGACGGCCCGTCCGATAGGCCCGACTACACCGCCGAGGTCGCCGCTCTCCAGGCGCGAGGTGGAGGATAGCCGGGATAGCCGAGAGAGAGCCGAGAGAGAGCCGGGAGATAGCCGAGGTGCTCGCCCGGCCGCCGCCCGCCCCACCCTCGCGCCTCTCGGCCGGCGCAGGGCCTGATCAAGCGGATGGAGGCGCACGCGGCAGAGTGCCAGATCGGCGCAAACGTGCCCGGCAGCAAGAAGAAGAGCTGCGCGCAGTGCACCCGCTGGCGGCAGCTGCAGAAGCTGCGCGACCGCTTCACGCGGCAGCTGCTGCAGCACGGGCCCGGCCGACCAAAGCAGCCGGAAGGGGAGGCCTCCTCCTCCTCCTCGCCGCCAAAGCTGCTCAAGCGGCAGGTGACGATGCTGCTCGAGTCGGCGGAGAATGCCGCCGACCTGGACCTCTCCCGCCTGCCGATGCTCGTCGACAAGGAGCTCTCGGCGCAGTCGCGCCGCCAGCAGGCCCC